AAAGTCACACTTTTTCGAACGACGTTTTCAAATAAATAGATGGTGTGTCGGGGATGCTGCTACTCTGGAAGGCCATTAGCCGCACAATGCTTTTAGCTGAAAAACCTCTGCAAAAGAATGAAAGATTTTCGGCAGAGTATTTTTTGTCGCGTAGGTGCTCAAAACCAAAAATCATGTTATTCTACTCTAATTTTTTGCGGCTCATTAAATTTTATTGTCAACTGGAGCAATCATGCCTCTGGTGGAAAGTTTTGCGGGATTCTCTCCCAATATCGCTGAGAACAAAGGATGCCTGGATTTGGCTCAGATGTTCAGAATGATACTCTGAACTCAAGTGTCCGTCTGGTCTAGTCCATTAGGGACATGTCATATGCTTGGGAACTTCAACTCCATTGTGCGAATACTGATCGCTCTATTTCACCGGAATCATACACCTTATTTTCAATTAGCGCCCAGTATTCGCGAAGTGGATTTGAAGTTTAGACAGGTACGACGTGCTTCTGATGGATTAAAGCGATAGGGCAATTGAGCTGAGAGTACCAGTTCAAAACTTTGAAGCCCCGTTGGGGCATCCGGGGTCTCAGCGATGCTTGGAAATTATTCCATCAGACTTTTCCGCCAGAAGTATAAATTCCCCAGTAAACAGTAAAATTTGTTGAGCTTAAAAATATGAATTTATATTAGGATTGCTTTTGGTTTGGGCACGTGCGCAACATTTTTGCACAAAAGGTGTTACTCCACACGTAGAAGCTTTGTACCTAAGAGCATGGTGCGGTAAATTGGCGCCTTTTCAATTCGACGTAATTTGTGACCTTGAAGACTACCTTATTCAAACGGGCCAAAAACGATTAAGGGACAGACCATTAGAAACAGACAGCGTTCACTATGAAGTAGTTGTGGCTATCCACGCACCCACATACGTGACTGTGCACATCACAGTCGCCCACGAGACCAGTCTTCCTTTTTCTACTCACAAACCACATCACACAAAGGTGATTCGTCTAACATTGACTGTCTGTACCCTCTGTAAGTGTACCAATAATTCATGAGCAGACACTGCCACGCACACGCACACGCACACCTACGTTTAATAATGCCGAACACAGTCAATACATAGACTTGCGCACGCGCACGGACCAGGAATTCAACCACTCTCAAAAAGTCCATCGACAATTAGGGACCAGGTGTAGCAGCTATACTGCAGAGAGAAACACGTTCCCACCCTCCAGAATTACACAAAGAAATACCACAAACGGCAATTTTCCTCTTTGACTTGCTCCCCATTTGGCGTTGAATTTATTTTTATACGAATTGCTACCCACCATTGTCGGTCACGTTAGAAGTTTTATTATTGCCAACACCATCAGCATCATCGACAGCACGACATCAGTGTTCAACATCGATGCTTCACTGCCGTACAACCATGATTTATTTGAAAGTCTTATTGTGAAGAAAAGAATAAAGGTGGACGAGGAAGGGACTTGGTGCTAGCTTACCACAACCATTCCGAGGTGACTACACCTCCAGACATTCACTAAGACAATCTGGATAGACACTGACAACAAGAACGTCACTGACATCGGTTGGCAGCCATATCTTGTAGCATCTCCAACCAGGCACAGTGAGGATCACGCGGTCCCCATCCTGGAAGGCGAGTAGCACCGACAGAACCCAAACGTTTCGTGATCTCCTTCATCCTCCTCTGCCAGGTCATGGGTCGGCCACCTCTATGTTTACACCACTCAGAATTGGGCATGGAAAACTGTACTCTCTTCGACAAACGATGGTTCGGCATACGTAACACATGTCCCAACCAACGCAGCTTCTGGTGCTGGACACATTCTTCAATGGAAGTACCCGTTACACAACCGAAAACACGCTTTCTAACTGCCTCGTTACGGATTCGCTGACACCAACCCACACGAGCTATGGTTCTGAGACAACGATTGTCGAACACCTGAAGACGTCTCAGGTCCGCTGCTCGAATAGGCCAAGTCTCACAGCCATACAACAAAACAGCCCGTACTGTAGCTTGATACACACGTCCCTTCAGATTCAGGGATAAACCATTCTGACGCCATAGGTGTCTCAAGTTAGCAAACGCGGCCCGAGCCTTGCAGATTCGTGCATTCACCTCATCTGTCACACTACAATCAGAACTAATACAACTTCCAAGATACGTAAAACGCTCCACAACTTCCAGTGCCTCTCCCTGGATTGTAAGTGGCGTGTTCAGTGACTGCACGTCCACAAGCATGACCTTACACTTTGTGGGTGCAAAGTGCATACCAAAGGACAGGATGACTTTGGTCAGTTCATCCAAGAATACTTGCGCCTTCTACGCCTCTTCGAACATGAGAACGACGCCGTCTGCATATTCCTGATCGACAAGGTTTTTTATTAGTGTAAATACCTTACGAATTATTTTATGGTTAGCATAACCCGTGCAATAATATAGTAACCATGGCAGCACCGTCGGTTTTGAGAAACCAGTTCTTTTCAGCGAATACTCGGTGGCAGCTGAAGCAAGATCAGGCTGTCAAAATTTTAATTGGTGGGCAAAAACACAAAGTGAAACAGACGGTATCCTGTTCGTCAGGTTATAAGAAAAAGCGAAAATGCGGACAATGCGCAATCAGAACTACGAATCCGGAGAAACGGCATTGTTGTCGTGATCCGGATGTTCAACTTGAACTAGAATTGAAAACAATTTCAAAAGTCCGTAATCTAGAAAATTTACGCTTAAGGCCATGGATATAAAAAGCACAAGTAAGGATGTTGAAATAAAGGAATTAGCTTTATAAACCAACGGTGGCTGGAAAATCATAATAATGGTGGACTGTGAATCTGTGGTGACTCCATGTGAGTCGCTATTGAAACGGGTTCGTGTGTAGAATTTCCTTGGGAGAGGGAGCTGGTGCTAAAGCAGAATAGGAACAGTAATGAAAATGATTGACTTAGTGTGGGATACAACCTGATAGCTCTCCGAGATAGTTAAGCCAGAATGGATGGTTTAGATGATCAGGACAAACTCATGCTAGAAGCGACCAGGGCCCGGGTAAAGTATTTGTTCATAGTTGAAAGTAAAAAAACGGGTGAGCAAGATGGCATAGTCAAGAATAGGAATGGAATATTTGCGAATGTGACATCATACTAGTTATTTCGGTGCCGTGCCCACCCTTCACCGATATAGTTTGGTTTCTGTACAGATCCGTGACGGACGTCATGTCAGAGATGATCGGACTAGGAATGTGTACTTCTGTGGGCGGCGGTATTTTGAGTTGGCCGGGGAAATCTGATGCAAGGATGCAGGTCGGTTTGGTTCAGTTATAGATAAATGGAAAGCACGGGCCAGGCGGAAGCCGCAGTTGCCTTTGTGCAGATCCTTTCACGATCTGTCGAGCACGGCGGGCGCTGCATCTTTCCATCTCTGTTGGTATAGAGATTGAGTTGCGGTTGGCTCGGTGGATCAGCTTATAGTAGGCCGGTACACAATGAATTAGCTTGCGGTCGCATCATGAGACAGCTTGTACTTGTGCAAAAGTGTCTTGGAGGTATGGAGGTTCGGTGGTGACAGGAATTGCCTCGGTGTCATGATGCCTCCCGGAACTGCCGGGCAAATGTCGGAAGTTCAATACTAATTAACGAATGACTATTACTCCCGCTACTACTACTACTACTACAGTACGAACGTTCTATATTTTTATTCATCAGTCAGGTCGAATTGCTACTTGAGCTAAAATGCATATAACATCTGGGCGAAAAGCGAAGGACGGTTGCGGGGGTTTTGGAGTAAGGTGCTCACTCACTGAACTAAGTATGATTATCCTCTTCGATAAATTCAGAAATAACCGGGCAAAACCGTCCACAAAAGCTGAACAGTTGTTATTTTGAAATATTTGTGTGCGCGCCTTGTGATCAAAACGCCCCAAGAGGGTTGCAATTCTTCTGAAAATATCCGTGAAAATCATCCCAAATACCGATCTGAATGGAGGCCGCACCTCATTCATCCTTTTCACAGATTGGCCCGGTGGTGTTTTTGGGGAAGAAAAGCCTATATCGTGGTCTTTATAGATTTGGATACCACAATAAGGTCATTCACTCGTGCCCTCTTCTGTCACTGAGCCACTGCTGTCGGGCAAGTGGCACCCACAGTCGTCATATCTAATTTTGGAGAAGGTTTGCAACCACCTGTTTCATCGAAATTTATAAAATTTGCCAACAATAGAATGCTCTGCAATCGCAAGAGTTCATCGTTGCCCTTGTTTTGCTAACGAAGCAACTATAGCCTTCTTAAAATGAACCAGACCTGTGTATATCAGATAACCTGGTTAACCTGAATCAATGACAGGATGAGATTTTGAACCTGAACTGTGAGTCGAAGTGTCAATCAAAGAGACAACTGCAGAGGAAGATATTTCGTCCCTGAGAGTTGAAGCACCTGCAAGGACCCTCAGATTCGGCAATGCACGCAAGCAACGTAGTGGCGAAGTACCAACGGTAACATTTCGAAATACAAAAAAGGAGAAGAAAATATTGATTTAACTATCACCAAATGCGCTTATCCAAAAAATTATAACAAGTAATCCGCAAGTTAAATTCACTGTATGGCCCAAACCGCAGTTGAGACGCAGAATAAGTGTTGTAAAATCACTGTGGGGAATGAATCACCAGACGAACGCAACAGACATGAACTAAAGAGAATTATGTGCGGGGAAGGGACAGAAACGCGTCGTCAACAGAAGAAACGGCGAACGAGCGGACGTTTTCTGCTAACATAGCTGAGTTCAGGTTATTTCAAGCTACTTCAGACATTGCATTTCATAAAAGCATATAAACATAAGTCCATCAAACGAAAGTAAGCTACAAGATGGAGCTCAAACACATTGTTAACTTTGGCCTATCAAGGTATCACTCTAAACCTATGCAAAACTTCCTCAGTCTCCTAGACTGAAGACCTGAGACGTTTTTGTTTATACTTATCAAAGCTCATGAACTCCATCAATAATTAGCTGCGCCAAACGTTTGGTATAGCAGAAATGGACCCGACCCAAATGTTTGGCGCAATGAAATCCGGTGGAGGATTCAATGTTTTGGAGTTCATACGCCAACCTATGGTGATTCTCCGAATAGTAGCAATAGTGAGTATTAAGTCTTTTGCCTGCCTGTCCTCCGTCTAACCACCTCATTTTTCGCAGGACCGATTTGTTACTCTTGTTGCACGTTTTTAAGCAAAAGGAACATCTGGATGACCCATTCATCTGAACTCTAGTCTTTTTACGTATTTGGTATCAAATATTTACTTTGACTAGCTCATTCATAGAAGACTGTCTGGGTCCCGCTTCTTGAATTGCCTAAAACAATTGTTTTGTAAGGAATGGAAGTTACCTTCCATTCGTCCCGAAACTTTGGTTCCTTACATTTTTCAAGTACTGGTTGTAACCCGTCCCTTCATGATCATGACTCTCGTCGAGAGAAACCGTCGTTTCCCCCGGGTTACGATCGGTTCCTTCGTGGAGTTAACTCCTCGAATTCAACAGCCCCCCACCCCTTAAGTGCATTCAGAATTCTATCGTGCTAGGGCAGTGCTGAAAAAGCTCCAATGGAGTTAACTTCGAAAATAACCTGGTCCTCCGGCAAGACGGTGATAGCGTTCCTCATCAGCCGAGAATCGCTCTCAAACCAATCCTCTCCAGAAAAATGCAAAATGGCCCTGGGGAAAACTAAAGACTCCGATTTCTATCCTGAACTTGCACCATACATTCACTTTGTCTATAAGGCAAGTGCCGTTTGAAACCAATGCGGTAGGCATCAGGACCATGTTACTTGGTACTTGTACCAAAGTTGGCTTTCATTATCGACCATGAGCCGAAATAAAATTCATTATGCTTTCGCGTATGCATCTTTCAGAAGGGAAGTACACTGCTTAGTCCAAATCTTCAAATGTTCCTTTTGGGTGCACCTGATTTCGCTTTTGAAGTGGCTTTACTGTAGTCACTTCACTCAGTAATCAACTCTGTTAAGTATTGCTCAGACCATCGCGTACTGTTGTTTTGAGGCACACCAGCTCTTCACAACCTCTCGGAAGTTTCTCAAAACTTTCTGTATTGTTATTCCGTTTAGTTTACACTACTGAAACTGAAGAACTAGTTCACTAAAGTATTTGGTTTGTCAATTTCGATGACAGGAACATGTGAGGCTGCTTAAATATTTCACAGTAAAAAACTTGCGACTTGTTTCCGGCGTCTTGTCAATGAGGTATTGTGACATTGAGCGACAACAAGTTGAGTCTTTTTGTTAACCTGGATTACAATGCTATGCTCAAATGAGGGTTCAGAAACGTATACTTTAGGCTGCGCATCATTGTTCTCTCAACCATGGCTCTCACTTCACGTCTTATAGCTTGTACACTTTAGGGAGGAAACATGGCTTATTAGAAGGCACTGTGTGGCATCATCATGAATATGAATAGAACGATTCCTTTCCACAGCATATTGAACTGACCCAAACCAGTTGCAGCCGATTCAAGCTATAGTTTTGTGGCATCAAAGGCCAAATAACTGAAGATGTAGGTCCTTCGCCCAAATTGGCAAAGTCTCACAACCCACGGTGTAGCCTGATACACGCACCCTTTGATACCCAATGAAATTATTTTTTGACGCCATAATTGGCATAAATTGGCAAATGCAATTCTGGACTTCGATAGCCGTGTGATGACTTCGTCTGTCGCACTACTGTTGGAGTTAATACACATTCCGATGCACGCATGGTAATCCACTACCTACAGTGTTATTTCCTGAATTCTCAGAAGCATGTTCAAAGAATGGTTTTCCTGCAAAATGGCTGCACATTTTGGGTGTGAAGAACACGTCAAACAAGCAGAGCTCTGAACACCGGAGTTTTGAAGACCCTCTAACATTTTCATTGCTGTATCACCAACAACGAAGTCAAACAGAATCGGAGTGAGAATCGTTATCGGACACTACTGCTTGTAGGAAAGCCTTTCAAGAGCTCCCCGTGTGCTTCCTTGAGCCTACAACTGTGAATACAAGCAGCGCACTATACTCAAATCTTCTGTAGCATGACTTGTGCAAGCATTTGATCTAAACTAACCGGTTCACATAATCAAGTGGGCAATGTGGACTACTCCTTCCTACATGCTATTCATCAAAAAGGCAATGGTTCCTAATATAAAATTTCGCGATATACAGTGAAGTGAAATACAAAAGGAGGATTGTCTAGCATCGTTGTTGCATCTGCACGTCTTCCTGACTGGCTCCTGCGTGATTTCTTTATGTGGCCAAAAACGTCAAGAGACATTTTGCATCACCGACCTCGGTGACTGGTATTCTGTTACTCGCCAATCATACTGCCAAAACGGCGTTTATCCATCATCCCACTCGGAGCTTAAATTGGGTGACGTTCACAAACGCTATGGGATCACTTCTGCCGATGTCATCTGACACCGTCATGATGCTCGCTTGTATCTACTTTAATACTGTTATATATTTTACTTTGGCTGTCTTCTACTTGAATGTAAAGCTGTTCCTTAGGCAGGTATGGGCACCGTATTGTTGATCGTCTTCCCTAAGAACATAGGACCGTCTTGCAGCAAGTCACTTTAGCCTTCTCGTTTACTCAGTGCCGCACTCCGCAACATATCCATCTGCTTCAGTTTGTGTATGTATTTTGTTGCTGGTCTTCCGCCACATAGACTAATAACTTTCTTGTTCATCGCCGCGATTGTCAAATCATCCCTGACCGCAATATTTAACACCACAGACAGCGCAACTGGTGCTGCCACTTATGACGTGCGTTAAGTGAGAAAGACATGTTTTAAAAATCGCTGAACCGCACGGTGAGAAATTTTGGTGCTAGCCTAGTACAACCGGTTTAAGCAATCCGATTAAACTACGGTATGAAGGTCGTTGGCCCTTGTTTGTCCTATAGTGTCTCCGGTTTGTAGAGGAAATGACAGGAACTCCATTGGAGAACGGGATAATACTAAGTTCCACTCCCCATGCATGGTCCTCCTCATAGGTAGCTACAATCCGAGA